CTGACAGCAGATGTCGTTTTGGGGCAATTTAACAAACTTTAGGGGCTTTAAAAAAAATCATTTTATAGGGAACAATACACTGTGAAAATAATTTTCTTTAAGGATTACGATCTTACCTAATTCATGTAACTATTGTGTGGCTTTTTGACTGCCATAAGGATCTCCTTGTAAACATTTTATTAGAGATTTTACAATATCCCTTTCTAAATAAACTCATGATAATAATGTCCTGAATAAGACTTTGGAAACAATGCTCTGGCATTATTCATTTTATTTCTTCTTGTTAATAAATACCATGAGAATACCAAAACCAACAATGTGTATGTCTGTCCGACTTCCTGTTTGTGGCTATCAGCTCCAAGCCCATGGGTTTGTCCTGAACATGTAAATCTTTATAACCACCTCACAAATGTATATATATATATTTTTTTTCACACGCTGTCAAGCCACGCATTAATTTTCTCTCATTGAAATACAAATGTATAACTGACACCAGCTGATTGACACCTGCGTAACCCGCTCGCGCTGTGAGTCCACACAGCTGAACGAGTGGTAAAGTAGCCGGTAGAGTTTTCAGTATGAACATCTAAAACCCGACGCCAGCCTTGCTCTGTTTGGGACTGTGAGCTGCACTATCTGAGCTGCTGAAGTTAACGTGTGTGGATCTGTGGTGAGATTTTTGCCTGATCAGTGTTTCATTTACTTTTGGTGTAGCATGCAACATGCCTTCCTAAACTACATTGGTCTGAAGGGGATAACGTTCCTACCAGTGAATAAATAAGGTAATGCACAGCAGAGGAAACGGCAGGTAGACTTCTCATCACATGATGACGTTAGTCTTTTAATATTAGGACTTTCCTCCTGGACATGTCAGAGAACACAGATATGTGGGAGAGATTTTAAATGTTCAGAACATTTTGAGCATGGGCAGAAAATCTGCTGAAACACGGGAGCTAATAAGGTCGAGGAGTTTATAACTAAATTAAAATTGAATAATTTATCATTGGGGTGACTAAATCAGGACTCAGCAGGGAGGATTTTACATGAGAAAGTTGATCTACAGGAGAAACAGATCTGAAAGCAGCACAGAAGGACTGGGAGCGGCACTGACTTAGATTCTGTTATAGTTATAGCTATAGAGTTTGAATTGTCAGCTGTCACCTGAATTTTGTGTTTTCCTTTATATAAACAAAAAAAATTGTGATAATGCAGAAAATAAAGTGTTTAATGCTCAAGATTTTTTAAAACAGAGTTAAAGATGGCTTCTCACTATGTAACACCTTATGCCTGTTGAAGGTCGAGCACCGAAACGTTGTGTCAGTACATGTTTTTTGTAAGTTAGACAGTGTGCAGGAGTTTTCTTTGCGAAACCTATTGCTCTAAAAATGAATGCAGGTAAAGTAAAACAGGAGAACTGTTTTTCTGAGCTCCTGGAAAGTTGATGTTAAGTTGGTGATAAATAAAAACTGAGTGAGTGCTGTGAAACCTGTTGCATTCATGATTTACATCTCAAAGATAAATAACTTCATTTGTGGTACTGTGGTGAAATGAATGTTTCTGTGTCTTTGTGCTGTTTGTCATCAGCTTACCACATTGACTTTCAAGTTGATCCAGTTTGACTTCTAAACGTGATCATCGTCTGTGTTAACATAGCATGTTTATTTGTATTTTTGTTCTCCTGAGTCACAAAGTGGAGAAGTACGTCTTCCACATGTTCCGTTACTACAGCTTCGGCCGCATGAGGAAGAGCGCCGACTACTTCCTGCTGCTGTCCAACTGGCAGTACATCACCTGGTGGTCGACGGCCCTGAGCGTCCTCATCGTCGCTTCCGGCAGCTCCTCTTCCTCAAAAGATTCAAAAGATGCCATCTCTCCGAATCAGACCAGGTCTTCCCCAGAAGGTCTGCCAATGATCTACAAAGCCCACATCGTTTGCTGGACACCACAAGTCATCACTGGTCAGATTTGGCAGGGGTCCAGAGAAAACTACGGCGTCCGACATTGTTTTTGCATATGTACACACCGACTCAACATTAATCTTAGTGACCTCCGATTGGCGTAACCGGGAGTCATTACCGCCGACGTGAATAACAATCTTACTGTATTTACGTTTATCCTTAGCCAGCAGTTTCAAATAAGACTCAATGTCGCCCGCTCTGGCCCCAGGGATGCACTTAACTGTGGCCGCTGGCTTCGCTAACTTCACGTTTCTCAAAATGGAGCTGCCAATGATCAGAGTTGGTTTCTCAGCGGGTGTGTCGCTGAGTGGGGAAAATCTGTTAGAAACGTGAACAGGTTGATGATGCCCCGTGGACTTTGAATGCTTACGACTATTCCTCCTTCGGACAGTCACCCAGCCCCCCTTTCCTGGCTGCACAGGAGATGCCGGGGGACGGCTACCAGAGGCTAACTCAGGCCGTTCCGCACCGACTACCGGGGACTGGCTAGCTACAGTAGCTAAAGACTGATCTACCAAGGTGCGGAGCCGGACTTCTAAATCACTGAGCCTCGCCTCCATGTCTATAAATAAACTACACTTATTACACGTACCATTACCGCTAAAGGAGGCAGAGGAGTAACTGAACATCTGACACACCGAGCAGGAGAAAGTAGGAGAGAGAGAGGGAGAAGGAGAAGCCATCGCTAGCTGCTAAGCTAAAGTCGCTAACGGCTAAGCTAAAGTACTGTAGCGTCAGTTACCAAAACTTTAGAACAACTATGAGATTGAACAGCAGTCACTAAAAGATGGAAAGAACTGTGAGTGCTTAGGCAAAATTACTGTAAGAATAAGTGTTTAGCGGACAGTTGGCCGCTGTAATCTAACAAATGTAACAACAACACGGTACCAACACACAAGCACCGGAAACGGAAATGAGTCGACACGCTTACCGCAGTACTTCAGTAGTATTGTTTACTGACAGTGTGGTTTCCCTGTCTCGTTACTTACTGTTGAATGTGGGATCATACAGGAGCTACCACCTTAAATATTCAGTGACAGAAAAAGAAGCGCTGCACTCATTCATGACTGCCAGTTGTCCCGCGCTCCTTTTTAACTAAATTGCTCCTAGGTGCCAAGGCTGCTGAATATTACAAGTCTGGGGAGAGGTATCCATCCAGTGTAAGGTGTTTGGTAAGGGGGGGTATCTTAAAAGACATGAATCTGATTCTTGTTTGGCCTGACGGGCTTCAGCACATTAAACTGTTGTTTTGTGTCCTCACATGGTGCTTGTGTTAGAGTCTGTGTTGTAAGTCACATAAAGCATCCACACAGCTTTCTCAGAAGGACAGGACTGTTTATTTGATGATACATTACTTTTGTCGGACTTGAAACTGTGAGAACCTGTTAAAATAAACCACAAGAACTGCATTCTGTTCATGTCTGTCGTGTTTGTTCGTTTTCCTTCCGCAGCCAACTCCCTGTGACGATACTGGGATGAAAAGGAAATATGTGTCATAACGCTCGCCAAGCGGCTACTCCGACACGCCCTCAGAAACAGTGAGCTGCAGCACAATTCAATTCAATTCAATTTTATTTATATAGCGCCAAATCACAACAGTAATCTCACAGTGCTTTTCATAAAAGAGCTCTATGATGCTATTTACAGAAGCCCAGCAGTTCCCACCAAGAGCAGCACTAGGAGACAGAGGCAAGGAAAAACTTCCTTTAAGAGGCAGAAACCTCGAGCAGAACCATGGCTCAGGGTGGGCGGCCATCTGCCTCCACCGGCTGGGGAGAGAGAGAGAGAGAGAGAGAGAGAGAGAGAAGGAGAGTATTATACCATGGAGCTAACCGTCTTTGTTAGCTCTCCTCTCCCTTCCAAACACTAGCTACCCTCCAGGCAGTCAGTGGACATGAAGTTGTTCCTGTGATGTAGAGACAGAGCTCAGTTAAAACTTTATGGATACAGATTAATAACTCACCGCTCTGAAACTCTCGCTCCAGTCCGTGTTGCCGAGCCGGTCGGCAACACGTGCGGCTGAACCCGAGCCGTTTACCGGCTTCTCGCTGACCCGCCCTTCTCTGCTTCTGATTGGCTAGTAGTCCTTAACTAGGAACTGAGCATGTGCAACTCCCAACAAAGATCATTTAGAGTCACCACAACCTGACAGCCCACAACAGGATCCAAGGTGCGTGTGTGCAGCTGCTCTCTATGCTGGCAGATGTTAGCTGTTGCCGAATGTCAGGGTAGGACAGGGTTTTCCAAAGAATCTTAATACAACTGCAAATCTAAACAGAGTTGGACTAAACAGTTTGAATTACCCTTTTGAGCTTTTATCACTCCATAAAAACATCTCCTGAATTTCTCCTGTTGACAGCTGCTAGAAGGCGCTGACAGCGTTTTCGTTTCAGGGCACAAGAATTTTAGGTACAAAATTTTAATCATTATAGAAGGAAAAATAAAAACATGAAAATCACTTTCAATTAAGATTTTCAATCTCAGCTAATTTATGTTACTATTGTGTATCTTTAAACTTGTTTCTGTGGCAAATGGTTGTGTACATGAATGAAACTGCACGTCAGCTTTTTAGGCTTTTAGTTACCATAAGGATCTTTGTCATTTTGGTTTCTACTGAACTTTTTACTTTCCTTTCTACATCAGGAACAACTTATGATACAAATGTCCTGAATATGATGTTTTTTGTTAATAAAGAAACATGAAAATACCATGTGTGACTCCGTCTCTTACCACTTTCTGACTTCCTCCAAGTACATTGGTTCCTACCGAAAACATAAATCTTTAAAAACACTTTACAAATATCTATATTGTTTCTTTGGTTTTTAAACTCAGCAATTATAAAACTGGACAGTGTAGCTTTTACCAAACATTACTTGTACAGGTGGAAATATTGCATTTATTATATTACTTTAAATATATTTATTGAATATTTTCAGCAGTGTTTATGGCAGCAGGACTGTGGTGCAATAATTATTCTTTTCCTATATAAGAAAAATTTGAGAAAATGATGATAGATAAATATTAATTTCATGAAATTTCATTTACTCTCTGTATATAATAGGTATACATTAATTCAACAGATATGAACCACTGTTAATGAACGGCCCATATTTACAACTCTTCAGAACCACTTGACAAACTTAAAGGAATAGTTTGATTTCTTGCTTCTTTTGCTGAGCTTTTACTTATAAAGTCCATAGCACCTGGCCAAGAAATGAACATTTCTTGCATTATTAAGGTTGAGTTTTGTTGATATGTTATCAAGCGAACAGCGTTGTGACTGAGAGTCTGTAGATGTGGTTAATAATTGTTTTCCAGTTGATATCTAAGAATCAACAGAAGCAAGCGGCCGGCTCCTTCACGTCCTTCTTCACAGTGAACTCCAACTGCAGCCATGCTGCTGAACGCTCTGCTCGTGGTGTTGAGCTCTCAGTGCGTCTGGGCCAGGAAGTCTGAACCGTACCTCGATGAGGCGGACGCAGGTTTGTTCAGGGGATCGGACAAATATGACTTTGCCATCGAGGTTCCTGCCGCAGGGATGGAGTGTTTCTGGCACTTCGCCCACCAGAGTGGAAGCTTTCACCTGACGTACATGGTGAGAATTTTCACTGTAAACCTGCAGGACTGGATTTCAGCTCGTCTGCAAAGATAAATGAGTTTATAATTAGAGGTACTGAAATGAACACACGGTAGGGGATGTTTCTTTGCCTTTGGCTGTGCGTCCTCAGCTTATCACACTGACTTTCAAGGTCATCCAGTTTGACTTCTAAACACGTGATCATTGTTGGTGTTAGCATAGCATTATGATGTGCAACAGCTTTCCATTCCTTGCAGAAGTACACAAATGTGTTAAAATGCATATGTTGAGATTCAAAGAGAAACTTGGACCTTTTCTTCTTACGTGTATAACTGAGTTGATTTGATCTGATTGTTACTTTGATGGTTTTAGTTCTTTAAAGCTGGTTTTAACTATTTCTGAAGTTGTTGTCAGTCTGTAAGCAAATAACCTGCAAAAGTGTTGTTTAATTAACAATGAAATAATGATTTTAGATTTAACCAAAATTACTGAGAAGTTTTGAAGATGTAGAATAAAATTAGATCAGTGCAAAATAAAAAAAAGAAGACTGACAGAACCAAATAAATTGATGTTTAATAATTACATCTCTGTGGTACTTTGTCATCTAAACAATAAAATATACAAAATGAAGTCGCATCATTTACACTTGGACTAAAGCAATCAAGTTTTGGCTGTATTGTTATGAGTGCAGGTAAATTATTTAAGTAAGTTTGAGTGAATTATTTGCTGGCTTAGTTTTAATATTAAAATCATACTGTTAAATTAGCTGCTGTACAGCTGCAGTTATATGTTCTGTTTGTAGCCAAGCCAGCAAAATATAAGAGAGAGTACTATGATGCATCATAACCTCATTACAAAGAGAAACAAGATTAACAAAGGAAGCCTCTAACTGGTTTGGAGAAAGTCGCCCGCAGGAGAATTTAGGGGACTTTATGTTGGATTAAAGTACATTTGAAGAATGGGACCATAAATAACATGTGGTCAGACTGGAAGTCGGATTTCCTGCTGGCAGCCCTTAGAAGCTAAAACGTTAATTACACCAACAATAAACGTTTGGACCCAGATGTTATTTCGGTTCATGACACATCCATGAAGCACAATTACTTTTGAGTGTCACGATAAAGGAGTTGAAGAAGCCCCGCTCTAGTGGATTTGGGGCAGCAGGACGGTGTGTGTGGGATTGTAAACTACTGTGTGTGTTCATGGTGATGACGGAACATGAGATTTGGTGACAGTGCAGAACATCACCAGACTAACCCTCAATGCCAAAGATCTGAGTTTGCATCAGCAGGCGTTTAAATGATTTAAAATGTGACCACAGGTACAGTGGGTAACGGGGATGGCCAATGATCACCGGCTGTTTGTGACGGTCAGCTCACCGCAGGGAGTTCTCATGGCTTCAAAGAACGAAGCCGTCGGTCAAATGAACTTCCAGACTGAGGTGACAGGTAGGATCACCAGAAACACTTCAGTCTCCAGAGTCCATTATATATCCAAGAATTACAGATCGTAACTGCAGTTTCCTCACAACAGGTTTTTACCGGATGTGTTTTGGGAACCACAACAACCAGTTTGGAAGCATCAGGGTCTTTCTGAACTTTGGCGTCATCTACGAAGGCTTTGAGGAGTCAAAGAGGGAGCTGGAGGAGGGAGAGAGAGTCCTCAACAGCACTTTGGCCGGTATTGAGGTATTTATCTGATATTCAAGGCTCTGGGGTTTTGGGCTCAGTTAGTCTGCTTGAGCTGATTCTTCAACTGGACAGGGAGCTAAAATCTGCATAAAGTGTTAAAAGTATGAGGGCTTTTAAAGGACAGCTGTTGGCAAAGTGTTTGTGCGAGAGTTAAACTATCAATAAGTTCTTCATTACTTTCAAATGTGACAAAAGACAGTATATTACTCCTGTCATCTATGGCAGACTGCAGATTATGAGATACGGTTACATACAAATGACGTAATGTACCATGTCTGCTTTAGGAGAGCGTACAGAAGCTCCAGAATCAGATCTTCCACATGTGGCGTCATTACAACTTCGCCCGCATGAGGAAAGGGAAGGATCAGTACCTCCTCCTGTCCAACCTCAACTACATCACCTGGTGGTCGGCGAGCCAAAGCTTGGTCATCCTCCTGTCTGGATACCTGCAGCTCCTCGTCCTCAAAAGACTCTTCCACACAGACTCCAGCAGGCCGCGATGCTGAGAACGCACATGTAGATCACAGCTTTAACCACTTTCATGATGTCTGGTTTCTCATATCAGATTTAGAAATATTTCTGCAAAAGATAAAGATCCTGCAGACTATCTGAAGCTAGCCAAACACTTGATTGATAAAGAGACATTTGGTTCCTAACTGTACTTTCTTGTGTCTGTAATCCAACAGGTAATCCTCTCCTTAATAATCAAAGAAAGGTGGTAACCCATCAATCGGCTAAATAGAATCATAAATAACAAATCAATGTCTTTAACATTTTTTCCAACAAGCTGGTTGTGCTGGGTGTTCTTTAAATATGTCTTTGCTTTAAACTTCTTACTGTCTACGAACTTCTCTACTCCACATTTAGTGATTGTTACAAAACAGCTGCAAAAAGGTCCTCACTGGCTGGGGCATAGTGGATAATAAACTAGTTTAATAGCAGTAAAATGTCAACAGAGACACTGGGATTTGTTGTCAGGACATGTCATGCTAAAGGTGCGCTCTGCTTGGTAGCTCTCTGATTACTTTGTGCCTCGTAGCTGTTGTGCTAGTTGAGCCATGCTTTTTATGCAGTGCAGTGCTTGTTTTATATTTTGGTAGGATTTGTGTATTCAAGTAGTTTTAGCAGCATCATGCTTTGGGGCTGTTTTTCTTCAGCTGGAACCGGATCCTTAGTCAAGCTGGAGGGAATTATGAACAGTTCCAAATACCAGGCAGTTCTGGCACAAAACCGTAAGGTGTCCGTTAGAAAGATGAAGAGGAAGTTCACCCTTCAGCACGACAACGACCCAAAGCACACATCCAAATCCACAAAAGCATGGCTTCACCAGAAGAAGATTAATGTTTTGGAACGACCCAGCCAGAGCCAGGACCTGGATCCAGTTGAACATCTATGGGTTGATCTGAAGAGGGCTGTGCACAGGCGATGTCCTCGCATCTGACAGACTTCGAGCGCTTTTGCAAAGAAGAGTGGTCAAATATTGCCACGTCAAGATGTGCCAGGCTGATAGACTCCTACCCAAAAAGACTGACTGCTGTAATAAAATCTAAAGGTGCTGCAACCAAGTATTAGTCTAAGGGTGTGCACACTTATGCATCCAGGTTATTTTTCCCCCTCAAAGATTCCAGTTTGTTTTTGACTTGAATTGTTCACATTATAGGTCACATTAAAGGTGGAAAAAGTTCTGGCATGATTTATCTTTGTCTTATTATTTAACATATTTACAAGAACCCGGCATTTTAACATTGGTGTGTAGACATTTTCTATCCACGGTAGTTGAGATTGATGCCAGTCAAACCACTTGCTTTGATATGAAGGGAGCTGTTTCATATTGTTTACAACCTAAACAATTATTGTGGCAACAACACAGGAGCAGCCTATTGTTGAATGAAGTGGGGTAAACCGTCATACAGAGGGAACCTGTGCGTCATGCCCAACAAGACAGTTATATCCACCCATATTTAGTCTATCCCTTCTTCTTAATAAAGAAATAACAGCTGAAAGTGAAAACAAGACATTCTGTTTAATGAATTTACAAATAGCATCCGACACGAGTTAGAGAAAATAAATAATGTCTGTCAAAATAAAATGCAACGAGAGGGCTCTGATAATATAGCAGAATCAATCCAGTGACCATCTGACTTAGATATTACCGTGTGTAGCCTGCATTAGTTCTGCAGAGACTAAATACGCCATTAATGGCAAGTGAAAGTGTTTCTGCCATCTTGTGAAAGGGTGATGCAGGATGTGTAGCAGTTAAAGTCTCCACAGCTTGGATGGCAGCTCATTTCAGTTAATGTAGCAAAATGCAGAGTAGATAACCGACTAGTTATAACAAGTTAACGTAAGTTAAAAGTCGATCACTGGCTCAGAAAAACACCCGTTTAAAAAGTACGTGTACAGTTTTCAATACTTACTGTTCCTAAAACAACTACTTTGAAGAAGGACAAAAGGACAAATTCAACCATAAACACTGAAGATATCAATATTGATATCAATATTCAGTTAATACTAACATATTTATAACATTTATAAAGCAAACATACCAAACCAAAACGTATCAGTGAATTAAAGGCCTCCACATGCACCATGAAACGAACAGAATTATTTGGATGTGTTGGATGTTTGAAATTCATTAATTCAGTGTATTTATCAATTAAATGAATCAATTCATGAAATCTAATGGAATTAATAATAATTGTTGATTATTAGACTGAAACATGACATAAAGCTTTCTGTCTAAAATCTAACTTAATGGGGCTTTGACAGCGTGCCAAAGGATAAGACTTCTTTTCTGCAGAATACAGTAGTGCGCTCTACTTTCTCTTTGCAGTATTTTGCCTCTTCTCCTGCTCGTCCAGCTTGTTCTTCTGTTCGGCTAGCATGCTCTCTTGGGTGACCAGCTTCGTCTCCTGCTCGTCCAGGACCTTCCCCTGGCGGTCTCATGAACTTCGTCACCCTGTATGCCTCGCTGAATTTTGTTATCAGCTCAGCAGCTGATGACAGAACCTCTCCGAGTCTCTCCAAAGCTTTGTTCACATCATCAGAGAGTTGGTCCGGGTTCTTCAGTGCGATGAAAAGCATCACTTTCTCCGTGGCTTTGACTCTCTGCACAATGTGGGGGCATGGCACATTATTACAGTTCTTAATACTGTCATAGAGATTGTAGACGCCCTGGATTTGTGGCACTATGAGGTCCATGATGTTCAGCTGGAGAGACAGGAAGACAGTTAGCTTGGAACTAAATTAATCAGACATTAACAGGAAATATAATTCAGGGCTGGGGCGATTCATCGACATCATCGATTACAAAATCCCTCTATTCTGAATTTAAAAGATGGGTATACATCAATCAGGCTTTGACAAGACTCACAAGAAAATGTGTTAAAAAAAACAGAACAGCTGGCAGGTTTAATTCACAATCCTGGTTCACGCCTCAGACAAATGATTTGCATTTCCAACTGAAATCGAAGTCATCACGGAAGCAACTACTGTAAATCCAGGCTAAAAATAAATAAATAAATACCAATCTGCATGTACAGAATAGATCAAATCTATTATAATCATTTCTATTTCTCTTCCAAATATGGTAACTTATTATTTTGCTCAATAAATCACAATCAAACTTTTTAAACCATGAATCATGGTTACCAGATAACTATTAAATTCAAAACACAACTACGCTGCGCTCCATACAAACCTGTTTGATTAAAACATTACGTAACCGGGACTTGGCCAAAATTGATGATTAAGCAAAGATCCACAACGCCATCTTGGGACTTTCACCTAAAGAGTTCAGATATTAAATTGATAACAGTTATTACAAATTCAGGGATTCCCACTAACACAGGCGAGCCCACATAAAATATCCTTTGAGCAAACTTAAAATAATTTATTATAAAGACCATAAAATTGCAATTGCAGGTTTAACATAACAAAAAGAATAAACGATCATTAGTACTTAAAACAAATAGAAGAGGAGAATTTTTAGGAGCGGAAAAACATTGGTAAAGAAGGTTGCAGTCAGGCGGGGATCTTTTCAAAGGGGCTATAAATACACACGACAACACGCGAATTTAAAAAAGAAACCCAATACATGCCATGTTAGCCACCTGTTATACGTCACCACCTCTGAACCAAGATAACTCGTGTGGGAATTTTATGTGGTGGCTTTTCCCTCGTGGAAATATAAATCACAACTTAACACCGAATAAAAGTTTTTACAATAATTTAAATATAAAATATATAAATGAGTGAAGATAAATGAGAAAACCTTAAGAATCAGTAAATTGAACAGTAATTCCAAGTTTGGCACGGAAAAAGATAACTGTAACCAAAATCAGAATATCAATCAATATTTCCTTAAGGATATTGCTTCTAGGGCAAGGTCAGCTTAGAAATGAACCTATCTATAGGCTGTTACCTCAGTTCCTGGCGGACCGAGTGAACCTGTCTCTGACAGCTCAAGAAAAGACCCCCTTTCTCTCCTCCCTTCATTTTTATACCCAGATCTTCACACACGGCTCAAATTTACCCGTGTCACTCTTTTGGCTCAAATTGGAGTTTCTCACAATTCTCTAAACTTAGAGATGAATTTGCTTTTCGTACTGGCTGCATGCCTGGAAATTCCTGACCGACCACTCTTGTCCAACACATCTGTTTAAAACAGGCAAGTTGTACAACTAATGTAAAAAGCTGTAATCCTTACATTTCTTCTGACTAAATACATGTAAACTATACATATATTTTTCAAATGGCATACATGTAAAAGCTCTTGTCTCATTTAAACGTTTAGGTTTGAGTTAACCTATAACCTTTCTGTCAACTCTGGTTAACCTCCCTCAGGCCTACATCCTGTCTTCTTGGCAACAGCCCTGTTATTTGTTCTTTTCCTAAACTGTTGTTAGCCACATCGTTCTAAATCATTAGACTCTAATTCTTGTCATCTTAACCAACCAATTTCAGGCCAGAGTTCCTAGGCACGAATGTGCACGCACACACTTTTTCTCTGTCCAAATATGGAGTGTTACAGAAAAAATTCAAAGCTTACTAAATGTATATTGATATTTGGTTGGCTAAATTCCCACAATCGAACAACCACTATCAAGCTGTAACACCTGTTAAAATTAGAAATGAAGCCAGAGCTCCGATAGACAACTCCACACCAAGGGGAAAAATCTATCCTGACTTTATTAGTTAGCAAGCGTCCTCTTGTAGTATCACTGAATTTCACACTCAACTGGTTAACTCTTTGGTGACAGGATATTCTCTACGGGTTCCACAGGGGTTCCCTCGGAGAACATCTAATATTCGGCTGTTGTATATTTTGTATTGACTTTAACAATCATGCAAGAGTGATAAAACGGCTTAACGGTACAGGCTGTCGTTACAGTTTCTGCCCGTCTGTTAATTGTTTAAGTTACTTTCTTTTCCCCACACTGATGCAGAAATATTTGCCAGTGATTATCTTACTGCATGAAATTATATATATATATATATATATATATATATATATATATATATTTATTAAAATAATAATACTTCATCAAATAATATGATGAAATAAACCAATGTCAGAACCATTTTAACTTTCCCAGTTTCCCATATTTTTCAGACAAATAGGGTCAGCTGATCAGACGTGAATTTCAAGTTCACTACGTCAGAACTTGTTCGGAAAAAGTGTTTCCATCTCCCATCAACCTTTTCTAATGCTGTATTTAAAAATGCGTATAAAAAAGGTTGATGGAATTGCTGGACATTGTAGTGTGGGGCACTGGTCCTGGTCTTAAATTGGTCTTGCCTTGAATTCCCTGAGTTCCCTGTGCACCGCAACAACAGTCAGGCGCTGGTAGGTCGCAGAGAGTTGTTGAAGGACAATGGCTTCAGGAAAAGAAACAGCAGAGCAGCTCGAAACTCAGGGATGCATTTTTATATATAAAATAATTCCAAAGTCTGACTAATACCAAAAGCTAACACATCCAGCCATAAAAGTCTACATAAGTCTAAATATATTAAGCACCACACACACTATAAACAGTGATTTCAGTATTTAATCATCAATTATTAACAAGTATGACAAAGTATAATATAGTATACTTACTACTAAACTAAAGAACCACACAATTATTAAGTAAAATAGCAGAAAGCCTACACATGCAAGAAAAGAAGGAGCCTGCTGGGTTATAAAAAGATATTTAAAAAAACAACTCTGATGTCAAACTACAGATAAAACCACACAGTACCATGTTTACTGTAAAGCAATATCTGCAGTTGCAAGGGTCACAATTCTGTCATTAATAATGTGCTTGATGGTAAAATTAGTGAACTTGTCATTATCAGCATCAGCAGGGCAGCAAGACTGTTGTGAACGCAGCTTGTTTTATCTGGCGCCCTCTTGACATCATAAAATATACAGTGTTCCTGTTTAATGAATGCTGCCAATAAAACAATAACCCTTCAGACATATTTGTTCCAGCTGTCAATAAAAGTTCACCTCTGTTCATTCAGGTGACGCCTCATCCAGCGCTGTGCCGTAGCAGGCTTCTAAAGTTCAACAAAATGAATTTTGTTCAAATCAGGCCGAGAAACTGAGAATTATTCTTATTGTCACAAAATACTGGAGAACATATTTGGTTGATTAACAAGAAAGCTTTTCATTGGCTTCTGAACTTTGCCACCAGGACAAGCAAGTGGTGGAGGTGATGTAGCGCGATTAATTCACCGTAAGATTCCTTTACTGCAGGATACAGTAGTACCCTCTACTTCCATACACTAACTTTGATTCCACTCTTTGCAGTAACTCCTCCTGCTCTGCTAACTTGTCTTCCTGTTCCGCCAGCTTCCTCTCCTGCTCTGCCATCTTATTCTTCTGTTTGACCAGTTTGCTCTCCAGCTTGTCCAGCTTCTTCTCCTGGTGGACATGCAGAGCCCCAGAGAGGGTCACAAAGGCATCAGTGAGACTTTTGCTCAGGTTCTCGAACTCTAATTTGTAGTTGTTGGATTTCACCATGTGAATCATCACATTTATGTTGTTGAATTTTTCGAGCACCTTCTTCGCTGATTCCAGAATGGTGTTAAGTTTCTCCAGAGCTTTGCTCACATCCTCAGAGAGTTGGTATTGCTCCTTCTGTTGGACGAACGCCACTAGTTCCTGCAGCGCTTCAAGTCTACTCAAAATGTGGGGACAATTCTCTTTATTGGTCTTCATCTTGTCAAACAGGTTGCAGAAGGTGAAGATGGGTTTTATGACCTCCATGATCAGCTGGAGAGACAGAGAGGCAGTTAGCATGGAACAAAATGACCAGACATCACTGTTATTCTTGTTGAGGCCAGTTACAGTAGCCATGTTTCCATCCAATTCTCAAACATTTGCAAAGGCGCAAAAAAGAAAAAAAAAAGCAAATTTGGTGTGTTGCCATCAGCTGGTTTGGAGCGAATGAACTTGGTGCGAGTTCAGCGCTGACAAAACATAATAACAAGTTTTTTCAACGGAAACGTTGGTCTCTTGAACACTCTGTTGTGTACGCAAGCACACTGCATTTTCCCCCCTTTTTACATCATTAATGTTTACAAAGTTATCGCAGCTGATTGGGTAACACGTGTGACACGCCCACCAAACGGGAGAAAACATACCCCGAAGCCCCCGTTGCACAACGTTGCAAGGAAACTTTTTGTTCAATCCAAAAACGTTGCAAACCGGTGCAAAAAGTTTTGAGATTGAACTCGCGCGGCAAGCGAAGTAACGTTAGTAGTTGACGTTACACATGGCTGTAATGCTTCAAAATGTGCATAAACAATGTGATGGAAACATGGCTGGTGCTGCAGATATACTGAGCTGAATTTCATCGGAGCAACAGGAGCCTAAATCTCAGTCAACCAAACTGAGCTGGATGAAACACAAGTGATAATAATAATAATAATAATAATACATTTTATTTATAGCAGCCTTTCTGAACACTCAAGGTCACCTCACCAAACATAATAAAACTAAACAGCAATAAATCAAGCAACATAACATAAGTGAGGGCGCCTTCACATCTGAGGGTGTGTATCTTTGGTTCAAATTATAATGGCGTTTTAAGATAAACTGTCAAAATAAAATATGACTTGACAACAAAAAGAGAATAAATCAGAAATGTGAATGTTACGGTGCAGCTGATCGAGGCTGCTAAAGCCAGCTGAGACTCATCGGCCGGGTCTGACACTAGTAAAAGGTAAACTCTTTTTCCTTTTAGGTAAAAGCACAGCCTTTCCTGTCGCTACCCTCAGTACAAACTTTGCATTTTTTTGCCCCATTAACGGTAGGATCTCAGAATGGCAATGACCAAGACATTAAATTGCATATCTAACTAAAATAATTTTATATAATAATGTTTTCAGCACATGCAACCCCGATGCTGCCGATGGTTTTGGTACGTATCCTCTGTTTCCCCTGTGGCTCAGGCCTGGAAACTCACTGGTACTGGCAAAGTTAACGGTGCAAAAGTGTCCTTATTGAAACTGATTAAAAATGCCAAAAGAAACAATCATCAGCTGATGAAAGAACTACACTGAGTTTAGCTGATGCTGCAGTAATTACACCCAGACTGCAGGTAGTACAATCCGTGGGAACTTTAGCTTCCAACAGCAGCGTAAGTGAATCCATGTATCAAGAGGAAATGATTACTTACTGTACAGTGGATGCCGACACGTCTTACTTCAGGTATGTGTGCATGAAGGAAAATTAAACAAGGATTTGGCTTTTTAATCCCCTAATGCAAATCACTGTGATAAGTTTATA